AAGAAGATGAAAAAAAACGGTCATAAGGGAGTCCAACGGCTAGTTTGACTGAAAAAACGATAACTTTGACTTTCCAACGACTAGTTTGACTTTTTCGTTGACCGGGCCGGGCCGGGCCCATAACCGGTTGCGTAACCGGTTCCGGTCCAAAAATTCCTAAAAAACATTAACCGGTTCGTAACCGCCGGTCCTTAACCGGTTACCACCGGTCCCGGTCGGTTACGGTTATGAGCCGGGCTCGGTTCCGGGCCTTCGTCAGTTACGGGCCGGGCCGGTTACGTTTGGCCATCTCTAATGCAAGGTAAAATTGTGCATGCATGTGGGGGTGAGAGGGTAGCCGACTTTCCATGTAAGGAAAGTATAAATATAAGGGTTGGGTTATGAGGCAAGTTTTCTCGCCTCACTTGGAAAGTGTTGGGAGATTTAGAGAGAAGTTGTCCGGTGATCTTTTGGCCATTCAATCATCTTCTTCAAAATCTGAGTTTGTCTTAAGGTGAGTGGTTCTAAAAATACACTTTTAAAAGCTTTGATTTTTAATATAAGAACTGCATATTATTCTTAAAAACTAGTTTGTGCAGTTTGGGTTTAATCGGTCAAGGGTTGATCGAACTAGGTATAAACCGGTCAAGGTTTGTCCGGATTACTCTTAAAACTGGGTAGGAGTTGTTCGATTTAATTATAAATCACTTAAGTGTTGTGCGATTTAGGGTGTTAGTGAGAATTTGATTTATGTAAACCGGACAAAGGTTTTGTACAGAGAAGTATGAATACGATCAAGCATTGTGCGGTTTAGTCTTAAATCGCTTAAGGGTCGTGCGGATTAGTTATAAACCGATCACGTATTGAGCGATTTAGTTTTAAATCGATCATGTGTTGTTCGGATTGCCTTAAAACCGGACATGAGTCATACGATTTAGTCTTAATCGACCAAGGGTTGTCTGGATTAGTAAATCAGACATAAGGGACAAGTGTTGTCCGGATTGTATGTCCGGATAACTTGTCCGGATAGCTTATATTTGTTAATTTTCAAATATTAATTATTTTAGACATTTTATATAATTTAAAAATGTCCATTATTGGGTTTAATTATGGGTTTATAAAAGAGGTATTTTATAAAAAGATATGTTCCTACCAAGCGTGGTGACGTATGTCTGTTTTGGTATGGAACTGGATTTGGGAAAATGTTTCTACCAAGCGTGGTGATGTAAGTCTGTTTTGGTATGAAACTATATTTTGGGAAACATTCCTACTAAGCGTGGTGACGTAAGTCTGTTTTGGTATGAAATTGGATTTTGAAAACTGTTTCTACCAAGCGTGGTGATGTAAGTCTGTTTTGGTATGAAACTTGTTTTAAGTGGTAAGTTTCCCCCAGACGTGGTGAATTTTGTCTGTTCTGGTTTGGAATTGGGAATAAAAACTTTCAGACGTGGTGACTTTTGTCTGTTCTGATAAGTAGCCCTGTCTTGATGAAGGAATAAGGGTGGCATATCAAGGAGAGGTGTACTTGGAATAAGGGAAACATTGTCATATGTGGATAATATTATAACTCTTATTATTGTTACTAATTGGATTTAATAACTTTGAATCATCATTTCTTTGTGACCTGATGAATTAGAGATACTATTCCTATTAGAAACAATAATTTAGATGTTATTGAAAAGGGGAAAATGGTTTGTCATAAAAGGGCAAGTATTGCCTTAAATCTTTTCGTTAAATATTTACAAAGAATGGACTGATGATTCAGAGAAGCTTTGGTTACAATGTTTGTTTCATATTGGAAACGTTAGATCTTTAAGCAGATGTATTTTATTAATAAGAACTGAGGTTCTGGAGTTTATCCTTTTATACATGTCATTAAGAACTGCATTATGTGAAGGTATCATAAATATTTCTGGGCAAAATTACTTTATTATATGTTGGTATTTATTACCATGCATTCGCAAAGGAAGAATTCACTCACTAGACCCTTCTGGTCTAACCCTCATTTTCTGTTTTAAAATATAAAATGCAGGAATGGCGAGGTCTATAGATAACAAAGGGAAAGGGAAAATGTGATTATTTTCCTAACCTATTATCTGCTTTTGATGGCTTATTTTGAAGACACATGTATTACATGTGTTAGTACAGGATTTGTTTTGAAATTTTTCATATGTAGATTTTGTACATATAAGAATCCTTGTACTAGTGGGACCTTGTGATGTAAACTATATTTTTATGTAATGAAATATGTGTTATATGCAAATGTGGTGTTTGGGGGTGTTACAGAATTCATAATACATTTCACATGGGTTACTTGTGTAAATATTTACGAAAGAAGAGAGCGTAATCCCTCTATCCGAGATCCAAGTTGATGGGAATAATCATTGTATGGAATAACCTGATGCCATTTTAGAAAGAAAGTCAAAGAAGCTCGCCACAAAGAGATCGTGATAGTTAAATTGCATTGGAATCATCAATACAACTCAAATGCAACTTAGGAGGCCGAAGAAGATATCCGGAAGTGTTACCCTTTAACTCTTTACGTAAGTTGAAATTTCAAGGGTGAAATTTAATTCAATGGTGGCTGAATTGTAACACCAGTATTGTTATAAAGTTTTCATATTTTGGAATTTTTGATTTTTCCATTCAATTTGATGTTTAAAGTAAAACTTTGAGATTCAAATACAGTTATTAGATATTGGGCTAGTTTGGGCTAATTAGAAAATCAAAACTGGTGAAATTCGGCCATTCAGGTGGTTTGGGAGACTTCTCGAACGACCTAAGCGTGGAAAAATTCGCCCAAGCCACTAGAAAGTGGCTAGACAGTAGGAGATTGATTGTTTGGGAAAAAGTAATTGAGGCTACCTATGAGGCTCCTTAGGTCGCACGAAGAAAGTCGCTCCAGGGTGCCGCACGTGTTCGAGAAACAGTGATAGAGACCACGCTTTAGGCGCCTTAGGACGCATGATGGAGGTCGTCACACACGACGCAGGCATGTCATCTTCATCACGATTATTTAGTTTAACCTAGCTTTATAATCATGATCGTTTCAATCTTTTTGGATGCCCTGTTAGACTTGTAACAAGTCAAACAAAATATGAAATTTCACATCATATATTATATTAAAAGTATTACAAATTAAAATAATTAAAAATGTCTTTAATAACAAAATTACACACAAAATTTATTTAAAATAAAATCATTTTTCTAACATTATTCGAAATAAAATCTTTAATCAATTTTTTATAATCAACTTTCTGTAGTAAATCATTTATTTGACCATGGCTTATGTTTGACCTAAAATTAGAGATATAAGGATAAGGGATTGTAGGTGATCTATTAAGTCAATTGTGTTATGTTGACTAAATTTATGAATTACTAGTAAGTAGACGACACTAAAGGTCCAATCAGATTCTTGAGGTGAAATTTTTTGGGTCGACGCTAGAGGTATATGAGGGTTTGAGGTGATACCATGAATCCGAGGTGTAACTCAATAACATCATTATGTGGCAATAAGTTTGTGTTCTCGCCACTTTGATGGAAACATGTATCCTTCGCCATCGAAAGATGTTTCATGTAATGTCCAGGTTGAGACAACTTATTATGATGTATGAGTTAGACCACTTTCGTGGTTTAAGATAACATCTTTTGATTTACTTCAGATATTAATACTACAAGTTAACCACAAGGGTGGTGGATGATTGGTTTGAGCTTGGCTCCAAAGGTCAAAAGTACCAGGAGGTTCCAAGTTCAAATCCAAGGAGGAATAAAAATCTCCTTGTGGCTACGGAGGTTCAAGAGCGGTGACTCCGAACTATCTGCAAAACAGGTGGTCGTCCTGAGTTTAGTCGACTCGCATAGCGGGTTGGATATCCAGGTTAATAAAAAAAAATACTACAAGTTAAATTTATGTGTAGCTGATTATGTGTAGCTTTTTAGGGTGTTATGAGGGTTTACTTTAAAATCTTCTTAGCTGATTATGTGTAGCTTTTTATACTAGAAGCATTTCCAACCAACACTAAAAACATAAAAATAGAGGTGTTTTCATTTCCAACACAACATTAAAACACTAAAAAAAAAATTAAAGGTCTCCAAACTGTGCCTCTATAAATAACATATTAATATAATATTCATTTTTGTAATTATCTATGTATATATATTGATTAAAGTTTAATGTATTAAGTTATTATTATTGTTTATTATAATATTAAAAATATTCTTTAGTGTGCGGTTGAAGTTGATTTTTTTAGTGTTCAATGCACCCATCATTTTGAATGTTTTTAGTATTTTATATTTAATGGTTAAGTTAAAGATAGTCTCAATCGTGTTACAAATCACTTTCATTTGTTTGTTTTTTGACAAAGTTTATTACCAATAACAAAAAAAAAAAAGTTTAACAAAATTTTTAATTAAAAAAATAGAAGTCGAGATGCCGACCATGGGAAAGTTCGGGTAAACCAGATAGGAGGACCTAATGTACCGAGTGGCAAATTTAGGAATTTTCTTGAGCGGTTGCACTTTTAAGGTGGTCCGCACACTCCCGGGTTTGATCCGAGGGAAAAGTTGATCAGTTTGATCCATTGGAAAGTCAATTTATGTCGATTTCGGGAATAGTACATTTTTTTCCAATTGAATAGTTTTTTTCCTTTGCAATGATCAAGTGAGGAGGAGGGGGGGCATGGGACCCTGTTCGGTTCGGTCCTTACTAGGTCCGCCCCCGAATGTACACCACTAGACCCGACAAGATAAGATGCTTGATGCAGGACAAAACGTTTACATGTTTTGATGAAATGAGGTTACATAATATGCATGAAAGCTTCCATTTCATGACCAACTCAGATGCTTTACATTTTCTAATTGTACCAAAGGAGTTATCATCTGATGGCAGAATGTTCATCGACACTTGAGAGTTTAACAGAAATAAATGGAACATAAAACATGATCCATTGATTGTGCACTTTACAGAATGTACCAAGAAAGAAAAAAGAAAAGAGTAGAAAGCTTGCCTCTTTTAATCCTTCTCAAACCACCTTGGCTTCCTCGGTCCCTCTCCGCTCCTCTTCTTCAGCTTTACGCCATGCAGCCTATGTTAACGTTAAACAAACAAAACCCAATTAATTCCCTTTCTTTACACCAATCATAATTGCATAAACAACTGATCTACTATTTGAGGTAGACCCCATTTTCAACTGGGCTATACTGTGTTTGTTTGGTTTTCGTAAGATAAAAGTGAAATTCAAATGAAACTTGCCTGGTCCCTTTGAAGTCTAGAGAGATGTGGACGTATTGAATTTCCAAAACTCATGCCTCCCCATGCTTCTTGCAACTCTTTCTCCCTTGCTTCTCGCTTAGCGACCAATGGGTTCTTCATCTGGTTGTTGGATTCCTGCACACCGCCACCCACCTTTTCCCTCTCCAGTCGTGACTTGTGCTTCACCATAATTTGGTCCAAACTCCCTTCACTCTGCTCCAACTCGGACTTTCTGTCCCTCCGTTTCACCTTTACTTCCTCTTCCATGCTCATTTTCTCTTTTTCGAGTCTTGAAACGTGCTTTACTAAAACCTTATCCAAGCTCTCAACACCATTTGTTTCCTTTTCCTTCACTCCCCTTTGTCTGTTCATGTCAACGTTTTCTTTTTCTTTTGCTTCTTGGACCTCTCTTTCAAGTCGTGAGACACGCTTCACCAGAACCTCACCTAGGCTTGGTATTTCTTTTGTTTCTTGTTTCAATCTTTCAGATCTCTTCCACTTTGGCTCATATTCATTCCCACACTTCCTTTTACTCTCTTCTATCTCTTTCTCCAGCTTTGAAGTATGCTTTGTTAGCATACTTCCCAAGTCAGAAACAATCTGGGCCTCTTTGGAAATCTTGTTATCTTTATCAACTATGTTCTTTTTAGCGTCTTCAATCTCCTTCTCCGATCCTGAACTGACCTTTTTCTCCTCACTGTGTAATTTATCTCCTGCCTCTTTTGTTCTAGCACTCTTTGCATCTTGTATCTCTCTTTCAAGTCTGGTCAAGCGTTTCACTAGAAACTTGTCGAGACCTGGAAGCTCTTCGTGAGCCTGCTGCTTCTTGCTTGCTTGTCCATCCACATTACTGTTTACTGTTCTTCCTTCTTTGAACAAATCACGCCCACCATTAACACCTGAAGCTGGAAAAGTGTTTTCAGCTTCAGCTAGAGCGGCATTCAGACCACATGTTGCAACTATAGTAGCAAGAGAATTAAGTTCTTCTTCCTGCAAACACCTTAGTCTTACCAACATCATGTCAACAAGGTTTTCCCTCTGTTTTTCCTTAGACGATTCCATCTCCTCATTTCTCTGGGATCCTGATTCAAAATCAGGCCCAGCATCTGATTCACTTTCGGATATATCTTGATAGCTTTCATCTAAATCAGGATTCTGACTAATTCTTTTCAGCAGTTCTTTAAATTCTTCTTTGCCTATGGAGGCGCTACTTGAGAGCCTGACGAATGCAGCTTTCACAGCAGCTGCGACTTGTTTATCCACCTCAAATGCTGTATCGAAAGTTGTTGTAACCGTATGAGTAGCAGTGGTAGATTCTCCTCCACTTACTGCAGATGTTTCTATTTTGCAATGCTTCCTTGGGCAGTCAGATATTTCATACATGATTACTCCAATTTCTTTTGCAGATTCAAAAGCTTCGGCCGCACTTTTTTCTGCTTTCACCAAAAGGCTTTCTGCTTCTTTACTCTCAATCCTGGGAATATAAATTTGATTAAATAAAATAGAAGTTAAAAAGAATAAAATTGTTTCTTTCATAGAATGCGTTTGCAGATTACCTGGCTGCTCGAAGTATCCGACACCAGGATGCTTCAACCAATGCAGCTTTTCGGGCCTCTATTACCTTGTGAGCAGCTTCTCTGACAGCAATTTTTTCTCTAAGCACTTTTGAGAAATGGGGATTTGTGTCACCAAGAGTCTCGTCGAGAGTTGAGTTCATGCCATCTACTTCCTAAAATATACATGTTAATAATATGAAGTTGTCATTTTCAAGACTAAATACATTGAAACAAGAAGACTGATATGTTACACCACCTGAAGTAATTTTAATTTTCTCTTTAGGTAGGAATCCCCTTTCTTGCGTGGAAACCAGCTGAGAGGTGAAGTTTTTCGACGAGGCTTTTTAATCAGACCTGTCAATCTGTTGAGAGCATGTGGACTTGGTTGATTTGCCTCTTTCAACACCTTATTCTGAATTTCTCCGAAAAATAAGACACAAAATCAACAAAAATATGAGAACACGATAATGATCCATGATGCAGCAATAACTAAATTCTTCATGGATCTCATTGGCTTTACTATTTGTAAACCCCTAATCAACCAACGGCCCCTCTAGGCAGTCATCCATTTTTTATTAAAATTCCTGGCTATACCAACTGGTTACGAATTCCTAACCATATTGAATTTAGATACTCACACTAAGAATCCAGCTTTAGACGCTACTGATCATATAATTTCAGAATATAAACTGGTAAGTACACTACAAGACATTGTGTGTAAAGCTACAACGTGACAGGCTGATAGCAGGCAAGGCCCAATTTAAGTTCCATTCATAAAGGCAAACAAAAGATGGATTAAGGATCAGTTATATAGTATAAATGGCCTTAAAGATATAGAACCAATACTTGATACGAATAGGTGAAACCATGCATGGATATTAGAAAATTGATAGATCAATTTCAAGATAAAAAATTGATGTAAGATTTAAAGGAAACCAGAAGCATTGTTTCAAATTACTCTCAACATGACTCCTGAAGAACCAGTACTACCAATTATAAAATTCTTAGTCATAAAATATGAAAATGAACCTTTTTATCTTAGATTTTGTAAAGGAAATGGCATATCCAAATGAACCCAACAATTACCACCATCATCTTGCATCTCCAGTGGAGAGGCTGAATTTATAGTATGAACGAAAAGTTTTGAGCAATAAGTGAATACAGATAGGGTAGACAAACATGATCCTTTCTGATTGAACCTCTTGAGCAATTTCTAGATAAAAAATGTTTTTTATCCCATCATTTCAAGTTTGCAACAAGTAGTCATTGGGGAAGCACGGGTGCTTCTGCCCCTTGTCAAATCCATGCATTAGGTGATTCTAAAACCCTTGCATAATACACATCTGATGCTTTGTAGGTGTAATCCTTTGAGATGTGGTGGGAATGGGGATCTCACAAGGTGTGATTTTGACTGGTTCCTTGAATTGTTTACCACAAATACGGGATACAGGAGTGCTAATTTTGGTCTTTCCAGAACTGGTACCATAAAATCGTATAAATTAGTACCAAATAAAAGAACTCAGTGCTTCATGTGCAGCATATTGCTGTATGTAATATATGTTAGAATACACTTACGAAATCCGTACACCGGCAAAACAGTAAAATTAGGGAAAATCAAGCAAACTACAAACTGAAACCAGCACTAAAAAATCCACCAGGCAAAATACAAGTTACTAAAACACTAGGCGGCAACTAGCAATTAAAATGCCTAAACGAAAAGTGATAGATCTCAAAACCTACAATAGATAAATCCAGCATTCGATCTTGAAAGGTGAGCAAAACCTCAAAATCAAAAGGCAAATCAATGGAGATAATCAAAAACCACAGAATTCTAGAAAGATATATACCTTTGGAGGCTTCGAAGTTGAAGGCACATAATCATTAGGGTTTATATCTGAATCACCAGAGCTTTGACTGATTTGCTTTTCAATACAACCCAAATCCAAGCAGCCCAAATCCATATCCTTCGATTATCTCAATAATGAATGAATCAAATGTGATAAAAATGAAAAAGAACCGTTGAGTATGAAGCTTAGAAGATGGTGATGCAGTAGAAGTAGGGGGGATTTTTGGAAAAGAAATGCAAAGTACCCGTTACAAGTGTTTCTCAACGGTTCAAATTTTGAGATTTGAATGTGGATCACATGGAACAGCGGTGCAGGGCTCTTCCCATGTTTCTCCAACGGTTTGGTTAAATAGTCGGCTTCGACTGCTAATGGAGTTGGGTTGGGCCTTAAAAAGCCCAACAAGATAATTAGAGATTATTTTTTATTTTTGAAGAACCTAATATAAAATCGGACCACAATTTGATGCATTTTTATGTGATCTTAATTCTTAAATGTAAATTAAATACCCAAAAGTTTGGGATATCATGTCTAACGTATGAAATAAATGTTTAAAAATCGTGTTATAAAACAAGAAACATATCAAAGTATGTTACATTTTTATTTAATTTGTCTGTGTCAAAAATTACATTAAGTTGAAAAAACACTTAAGAATATTGGGCCTATTTATTATTATTTTTATTAACCTAGATATCTAACTCGTTATGCGAGCCGATTAATCCCAGGGCGATCACCTGCTTTGCAGATAGCCCGGAGTCACCGCATTTGAACTTCCGTGGCCACAAGGGAATTTTTATTTCTCCTTGGATTTGAACCTGAGACCTCCTGGTACTTTTGATCTTTGGAGTCAAGCTCAAACCAATCAAGCACCACCCTTGTAGTTATTTATTTTGTACATCTTCTGAAGTTATAATAAATAACATAATTTCACTACAATTATTACTTGGTAATTACAATTTTAAAAGCATCAATTAGACGACTCGCTTTTTCAAAAATAGTAAATAGAGATCAGGAATATGATATTCTCATTAATTATAAGCTCTTTAAATAGGGATGAGTTGCAAGTAGATTACCATGAAATATATCAATTCTAATTTATCTCTAATATGTCTATCTCTATCCATTTGACGATGCCACGCTAATCCTTCAACACTCCGACTTGTGCCAAGTCAAAGGGATGACGGTGCATGATTGTGGTCTAGTTAAAAACTAGGCATGGCAACGGGGAGAGATATGTAATCCCCGACCCTGGTTTTTGGTTATGATCCCCATCATGGCCCCGATCCAAGATTGGTACAAGGAATAAAATCCCCTCTGGGGTCAAACCCCTGTTAAAACCCTATCCAGCCCTGTTCTTGGATCCGTTCACATATCCATTCTAGACCAATCCATAATTTACATAGAACCACAAGGACGAAATTTGTAATTTACTCAAAAATTAGAGAAGCCATTTACCTGGCCATCAAATATATTGGTGAGTCAATTTAAGGTAGTGTTTGGTATGTAGACATGATTGGACATGACAGAACTGGACATGACAAGAGGGTAAGATTGGGCAGGACTGGACTGAGCAGAACAAGTGTATGTATGGTTTTTGGTACGATTAGGACTGGACGAGATAGAACTAGACAAATTACCCCAAAAGTTATTTGATCATTTTAAATATTATATAATTATTATAATTAACACAAATAAATTAAAAAATTGAACAATTTAATTTATAAATATTTTTACACAATTGTCATATAAATTAATACATACATATATAATGGCACCAAATTTGAAGGAAAATTAGATATAATTGATGGTCATAGTAGTAGTGTTGGAGGTGGTTTTAATTATGGTGGAAGTGGTGGTGGCTAATGGTAGTAGTAGTTGGTGGACGACGGTGATTATAGAGGACGTACAAATGGTGGATTGTAGTGGTGGTGGCGGTTGACAACAGTGGAGGAGGTAATTGTGGTTGATGTATTGAAGATAGTGATGGTGGTGATTATGGTGGAGGTGAGGTGGTAATGGATGGTGGTGGTCGACGGTGGACGGTGGTTGTGGAGGTCGTGGAGGACGTTATTGTAGTAGAGGAGGAGTTAGAGGTGTCCAACGTGGTAGTGGTGGTGGCAATGGATGGTGTTGGTCGGTGGCCGATGGTGGTTGTAAATGTGGCAATGACAATGGTGGTCGACAGTCGATGGTGGTTGTGGAGGTCAGGACGAGGTTGTTGCGGTATATGAGGAGTTGGAGGTGGCCAACAGTGGTAGTGTTGGTGGTAATGGGTAGTGGTGGTCGATGGCAGATGGTGGTTGTAAATGTGACAATGGACGGTGGTAGTCGATGGTCGACAGTGGTAGTGGAGGTGGTGAAGGAGGTTGTAGTAGCAGATGAGGAGTTGAAGGTGGCAAACGACGGTAGTGGTGGTGGAAATGGACGATGGTGGTCGACTATGGTAGAGGTGGCGATGGACGATGGTGGACAGTGGTTGTGTAGACGATAGAGGATGTTGTTGTAGTGGAAGGGGAGGAGGACGTGGAGGTGGAGGTGGCCGCCAGTGACCGCCAATGGTGGCGGCGGCCGAAACTTGTGGTGATGGACATTAACACAAATATCATATTAAGGTTGTATATCAAACTAATGTAGGTTAGTAATATTTTAGTTTCTATCTCATTCTTCTCCCATCTTGTTCCACCTATTTTGGTGGAACAAGAAAAGTCCTCTTTTGTCCCTCCTGTCCCACCTTGTCCTAGTTCTTGTCTCTGTCTCATGTCACGCCAAACGTGGGACCGTGAGTTTTGTCTTATACTGTCATGTCTCGTCTCATGTACCAAACGCAGCCTATGAGTACGGATTTCATCCAAGTTGGTCTTTCGATTCTTCCCATTCACAGACCATGTTTAGAATTTGGTGCCAAGTTTGATAATATTCCTAGAGCATATGTGTTGATAGCATGTTATAGGAAAAACAAAATAGAACAATAATAAATAGAGATTAGGAATCTAGTATTCTCATTTACCATAAGCCCTTTAAATAGGGATTAGTTACGAATAGATAACCATAAGATACATCAATTCTAATATATCTCTAATATGTATATCTCTACCTACATAATCATATCGATATGGATGATAAGGTATGAAATATGTAGGCTTTCATCTTGAAACACCATTGAAAAGTTGGCCTACTTTGGCTGTTAGTTAGTAACAGTTGTGGAACGGTAAAAACAAATTAAAGAGTAGGTGATAGTCCCCTATCGACAATTCTTTTATGCTAACAATTTATTAACCATTGAATCAGCTAATAAAAGAGGAGTGTGATGCATGCTTAATGCACATAATCCCTCAAAATCATGGCAAACAGCCATTAAAAACTATACCAGCCTTTTTTATCTTCGAGCAATGTAAAGTGAGAACGAGGTTGCATTTTGTTAACTGTAACTAATCCCATAATACGAGTACAATCCTATCATTTGTTGAAACGAACGAATATCCATCCTCAATTGATATTGTTTGGTAAAGTTAGATTGCGTGAACAATCTAGCCAGACGACCCCAAACATTTTTAGTTTCATATTTTAGCTAACCGAGAGCCAATGGGTTGAGTGAGAGTGGCAAACTTTTTGATCCATGTAATAATTTTCGATTTTCGGTTTAACATTTATTATGGTTGCATAACCATCATCTTTTACATCTTTGGGTTTAACCAGCATACTGGTAACATGAATCCGTATGGATTTTCCACACAAGAAATTCCTCAAAATGTAACTCGAATACGAATAACTTTTATCATCGACATGAACATTAACCGACCGAAGAGAATCATCTTTACTTTCAACCATGACAAATGAGACAGTAACCACAATCTTCAAATAATCAAATAACAACACAACTCGCAATCCCCAAAAAGAAACCAAACACCAGAATAAACATAATTCAACCAAATTACAAAACCAATATCAAATCAAAAGCAGAACGTCAAAATATGCCAATTTTACAGATCGAATCCCACTGCCATGACTATCAACAATCACAACTATGGATTTGAATCACCTATTCGAAGAAACGTCTCTAGAAGTTTCTATATCTAAAGATTTCACATATCTTGGATTTTGCTAATGGTGCCTCGAGCTATCCATACGAGTTCTAACACATGACTTCTTGGTGTTAAAGCTTAGGAGATTCATGTTTGATTATTCTTACATGCATATAGTTCTTGTCAATTAAAACTTTGTACGAACCGTATAAATAAAAGATTAAAGGTACGGTGCTGACACTATGATTTATTAAATGGAGGACAAGATTTATGGATTCCCTGAAAATTGGATGATGAACAATGAAAGTTGATTTGCGTGAAACATTACTTTACGAATACAATGAAACAAATTTAAGATTAGACCTGTCGATTCCTTTAAAAGAATGATCAATAATCAAAGTTATTTATTTGTCATAAACTCCAAAAGTAAAAAACAAAAAACGTTTACATTTCGTCATATATTATATAATAATTATTCACATGTGAATTTATTCTATTGGAATATAATTGAAATACATAGACATTATATTCCATAGCTTTAGTCCATTCAAATAATTGTTTAGAATGGATTTGATTTGCTTTTCATGTGTCCAATTCTACGATTCACATAAGAAATTAAAATCATGAATCGATGGGAGAATTTGTTCCTGATATCTTTTAGTGCTCCTATAAAAGAGGACTCAACCCTTTTATCATCCATAACAGTTTGTATTCGATCCGCATATAAGTTTTATCACCCGACCCTTTAATTTCTCCCTTTGGAACCATGACTAGAGGTGGATCTGGACTTGCAATGACCATGAAGGATTTGATTGTCAGGTCGGCCTCTGATCATTCTCTTCGTTTTCTTCGGTTTCAATCTTGAAGTAATGGTTGTGTTAGAGTATACATCGTCTAGACTTGGACGCTTTCTTCTTCAGGGATTTGGTTCTTTTAGAGAGTAATCTAATGGGGTTCCACATATATTATCATAACTGGTATATATGGAATATGGATACGTGAAGTTAGGTGTCAATGTGGGATCCTCTCCTTTCTTATAGTTGATCATATCCACGGGTCGGGTTGTTAATTGATTATTGAAGATTATCGTTGTTGGTTTACTTACTTTGAACTCATCGTCATGTTTTCTATCATGTTATTGTTGAGTATATTCTCATTTTTTGGAAGTGTTAGCCTAATGTAAATACAAAAGAGGAAGATTGATATATATATATATATATATATATATTACCATTTTCATGTTTTTTCATCAAATGCGAAAGCTTAAATTTAGGTGTGACTTGTGCAGGAGGAAAAGCGCGATAACTCCGAAAGCAATAGTTGTGGGACGTAGTATGAGCAAGTTGTCCGGAAAGATTGATGATCAACGAGAAGTGCAATCATTTATGCATAAGGTACACGGACAAGAGAGCGAATACGAGGAACATGAACAAAACTGTTGGATTCCGCATCCTCGTACCGGGATATATTATCCGAAAGGTTACGAATGGGTAATGGAGGATGTTCCTGATGGCGCTGCTTCCTTTCCTCACAATTATTGGTTCAGGAACACTGATATCGAAGTCTGATATTTTTTTCTATACATGAAATATGCTACTTCAACCTTAATTATAGCCAACGCCTAGACTACAAAAAATGTATACTTTAATGTATTAATTTTTAAGTCATTCAGTAAAAAGATATAATGGTAATAAAATAAGTGACACCTGAAATGTATTTATCTTAATGAGCGCATTACGAATAAAACGTTACTTGTGTTATATACCTTTAAACCCCGTTTATTTATAGTTTTTATTAAGTATTAACACTTGTAATAAACTGCGGACTGTAACTTTTACTTTGATATAAATAGTTCTTGATTTAACGTGTCACGAATTGACAAGTGTATATCATGTAAAATTTGATGCATAGACTCAATTTAAACCTGAAACTTGAAACGTCTTATATTCTCATTATGGACTTTGTTGTGGGACACTATGATACGGCTTTTCATGCATCATGTACGACATATTATAGGTTCTTTTTTCGTGCAAAATTTTCACTTTGATTTCGTCTTTTGATGTTTCAACCTTATATCTGTAGAAATCTGTCTTTTGAAATTTGCATGAGTAATTTCAAAAAAGAAACACGTCAAAGAAATCTTTGTAAAGTTATACGGGCAACAAACTTGCATTCTGGATATAAGGACGATTTGGAATATATATGTACACACACACATACATATATACACACGCACACATACAATTGAGATCATATGAAACCAGACCGTTTTCAGTAGACCCGTGAGACCACACAAATAACACTAAACCTTCACAGCAAAACATTGTGAAGGTAAACCTTCACAGTATTTTTGTTGTGAAGTTCTTGCGTCTTTCTTATCTTCACAATCTTTTGTTGTGAAGTTTCAGTGTTATTTTGTGTCTCATAGGTCTCACGAAGCATGTTGGTCTCACGTGAACCCAACCCTCCTTATATATAAAGATAAAATTCAAAAGATTACTGATTAAATCTAATGTATAAGCAGTTCAAAACCTTGTCAATCTTACCCAATTGTTTGTTACGCAATAGGGTGAGATTATCACTGCAAAAGGAACTCCCTAGTCTTACCCTTGTTCTTATATACAAACGTCTAAGAGGTCATTTACTAAACACTTATCGGATGTCGCTTACCTTTTGAATGAGCATTACAATGACCTAGAATCTTACCCAATAAGAGACATAACAAAGACCATGAATTTGACCCGATAAGTGAGGAAGAAGACAAACCACAAGGGTTGTGGCATAATGGTTGAGGTCTTGGGGGTGTGGTGGAATCAATTGTGGCCACTGAGTTTATCGGGTTGGTTTATTGCAGTCACAATTTGTCGGGTTTAGTCCAAACATAGCCTAGAACACCCTTCCAGAAAAAAGTGAGGAAGAAGACTCTTATCCTGTAAGCACTTATCGGGTAAAAGACAATTACCAACAATCTATTTTGACGACTGTTATCCAATAGAGTAAAAAAAAAGTGGTGTTGTTGCCAGTAATCACTTACCCAGTAAGCATTTGATAAACGACCTATAAGAACAGTCGGCCTAGAAGCCCAAATACTTTCCCATCTCTTTAAACGAATTTTTGAATTATTTACACATTTCATAAAACCCCTATTTCCGGAGGGTTGTGATGCTAAAGATTATTTTTATAGTAATGATTATGGTTTTACAGGTCTCCCATCTACGACTTTATGGAATATTATTCACTATAAGAAACAGGTAATAGATAAATGATAATAAAATCATTTTAAATTATAATAATATTGTTAAACATCACCGCATAAATAAAATATAAATTTATAAATATAACATTTATTTTATATCTAATTCGTCTCGATAAACATTGTAATATTGCTTTAAATACTAGTTATGTACCCGTGCAATGCGGCGGGAGCCGTGAATTTTAACGATTTTGAAGTTTTACTGGTTTTATTAGAGAATATTTAACGATGATATAAGTTACACTTGGTTTTTACATATTAATACAATTTGAATAAATAAGAATTATGGTTCCAATTACAGTCTATCGATGAAAAAAATTATATGACAGTTTAAAATCCAATATATTTAAAATCCAACATATTTAAACGACTCCACAAATGTGTTCGATTTACACCAAGAGCAAAAAAATCAAGAGATCGAGAGCGAGAGTTCTAGAGCAATTGAATGAGAGATGAATGAGAGAACTTTTAATAACTCATGGTGAATATAAGTTTGAATCTCACCTTGGGGATGAGGAGAAGACATAGAGGTATGAGAGGGTGAAGGCATGAGTGAAATGTGTCAAAAGTATCTTGGGAATATGAAAAAAAAATGTAATAATGTGCATTGGTAACTTATACCATATCTATACTACCTTATAAACCAAATTTATCAAAAGTCTTAAAAACAAATTTTAATGCACAAAGTCTTAAAAACAACTCATAATGCATCAAGTACTACTACTTTATGCTTTCAATCATAAAATCTCTTAATCTACAATTAAAATAACATTTAGTACAAGTTACGTACACATTATTACTTTTTATTTTCATGTTCCCAAGATACTTTTGACATATTTCACCCATGACTCCACCCTCTAGTACCTTTATTTCTTCTCCCCATCCCCCAAATTGAGATTCAAACTGATATTCACCATGAGTCATTAAAAATTCTCTCATTCATCTTTCATTCAATTACTCTAGAATTATCGATCTCTCTCCCGATCTCTTTATAAAGCTGGTTTATAAATATATTATAAAGGTGCAGCCCAGGCCCATATATGAAAGCAGTCGGTGGACGTATGGTGGTGGAGTAGTTGGGTCAAAAGCAAGAAGTTTATTTAATTTTCTTACATGTTTTCCTCGTGAATCTTGCTTCAAACTCAAATCACCTTTACCAAAATCATAAAGTTACCACCCTTTTATTACACTCTGATTCATCACTTCAACGCACAATTTTCAAGTTCAAGTTCAAGTTCCAGTTCCTTCAATTTTGGCTTTAAAATGATGCGATTTGTTCTAATCAGGGGTTTCTCTTAGATACTGTTTGAATGACGAGTGCTTCGAAGCTATTTCACAATAGGAGGATTCAGTTTGGTCGTCGCAGCAGCACCGTTGACGATATAGAATCAGATTTCTCACCAGCTGATGGGAATTCCTACCGCCGCACCACCAGTAACCGTCGTCATCATCAGCTTAACAGCCGCAAAGACCGCCAGGATCCCGGTGGCTGTAACCCTCCCACGCGCCGTATCCACCGCAATCGCCTCTCGGTACTTCCAATTTCGTTTCTTCTATACTATGGCTCTTGATTATATTCATTTTTCTTTGATACTTAATCAGGACCGATCCTAACATTTTTGATGTGCTTACAAAAATAATAAAAAAATCCCCAAATACAAAATAAAGAGGCACATAAAAACCAAAGCCCCAAATACAAAATATAAAATAATAAAAAAATAAATCATGGATTAAGATCGTATTTCCTTTTTTTCTAGTTTTTCCTTTTTCAAAATTGAAATTAGCAAAATAAAAATTTTATTTCAATACATGAGACTTAAAAGACAATGAAAACTATAATTAGTTTTTAACTAAAATAGTAAACTACATCCAAATTACTGTCACAGTGAGCAAAAAGTAACATTCAAAAGTTACAGGACTAACGACCAAAAAGACCGGGTCTATCTGTTAGCAGTTTAATAAGTTTAATGGAACTATCAGCTTATTCGTGCAACTATCCATGATTGTTTCAGAGTGGCTTAATGATATAGAAAGCGACTTATCCGGTAAGCTTCTAGGGAGAGCTTTATATAGAAAGCAATCCCTTCCAACTAAAAAAACTCTCTGCGAAAAAATTCTCCCAAAACAAAAACTTTTCCAACTTATACAAACACATTAATTCATACAGACAACTTTATACAAACAAAAACTTTTCCATCTTTCCAACTTTTTCCAACGATGTGCATTCAGTATTCATCAGCTTTGGGCATGTTTATATAATTAAAGCTCAGTTGTCCAATTCCCAAACTATTAAACCTAAAACTAGTAATAAATGACAACTTGATGCCCCTTTAAGCTTTGATGTCCTGTGCGGCTGCACGGGCTGCACGTGGCCAGGGCCGGCCCTGTACGTGGTTTCAACTATAGCTTGATTGTAACTTGTTCTACTAAAAAGAAAGACTCCGTAAGATCATGGGTGCTTTATTATGTTAAATATATGGGAAAAGTCCGAGATATTTCCAATTTTGAGGGGTTGTTTGGGATTGCTTGTAAAAACAACTTATTGACTTATTACGGTGTGGTAGTTCTAATCTAGCTTTTTGAGACTCCGGGGCTTTTTTTATTTCCCTTCTATTTCTTCAATTAATTTTTCAAAATGTCTTGAAAGGTCATTTGGTCGGGCTTATCAACTACATTTTTACCAAACATGACTAGTTTACCAGATAACAACCAGCTTCAACCAAAAGCCACCAACAACTAGCTTCTAGCCGGTATATCAGCGAGTTTGCCAAACATAACATAAGGCTAATTAACTTTCTTCATATGATTCTTAGCAAATTGGTTTCGGGTTGAAAAGTGACCGATTCTTTACAAATATGTCGAGCGTCTCCTAATTGGAAGGTGGGTGTATTAGCGAAACTCGAACACAGCATCGAAAGAGTATAATGTTGAGAATATTCCATCTGAACTAGTTGTCCCAATGCCTTGTTTATTTCAATATTAGCATTGACCTCATGAGTCTTGCCTTTTTAGTGGTTGAAAATTGGAAAACTTAATTGTTCCATCTTCTTCAACTGTCCTTAACGATGACGTTTCTGATTGTCCTATAATCTATATGTACGGTTGTGTTTGTAATGGTTACAACTTTGCTGTAGATTAGAGTATGCATCTCTCAATCGTTGTCAACTTCTGGTTTAAAGTTTTAAAACGTGGCGTGTGTTTATTGGTCATAATTTAAAGATTCTTCATCTGCAGGAACACGAGGTAAGTCAGCTGGAACCTCCGTCTGGAAGCATTATCATCAATTCAGACGATTTCAGAAGCATACGCAGATGGGGAAGCACCGCGAATGATAGGCTTCCTGGAGTTGTATTACTTGCAAGGGAAAGACTTGTTGAAAGATTGAGAGGCGTCCATGTTTCCGAAAACAGGTATCCTCTTCACAACATTCCAATATCCTCGAATCCAATCTTTTTGGAGGCCCAGTTAATATTAATTTTCACTTGGGTTAACAGGCAAAACAGCAGCAGGTCTTCTTCATCAAGCATCCATCAGGAGGACAGTAGGCTTATTGAAACAGACAATAACCTGGTGGAAGTAATGGCTCCTCCTGGACTTACTGAAAATGCTATAAACCAGTTATCGATAACGGTTTTCAGGAATGTTGAAGAAGAGAAAGAAAGGTCCTCAAGGGAGTGTAGTATTTGTCTTGAAGGTTTTGAGGAAGGTGATGAACTCATAAACCTGGCTTGCATGCATGGGTTCCATTCCTGCTGCTTGTTTCCATGGATTGAGGTTTGTGGTGCCTGCCCAAACTGTAGAAAAACTCTACTTGTAACTATTAAGACTAATTAACTTGTTTTCTTCATCATAATCCCTACTGCCTGCCTGCCCTTTTTGGGGATCAGTTTCATTTGACTAAACTGAATATATATATATATATATAGAGAGAGAGAGAGAGAAAGAGAGAGAGAGAGAGAGAGAGGTGTTTATGCTTGTAATAGTTGGTGAAGGTGATTCAGAGGGGTTTTATTTAGTTGTGTACAAGGGAAGGTTGACAAAGTGTATGTCGATGGTATTTTTATGAATAGGAGGATACTTTGTATGACATTCAGCATGAGCATGCTAACAGGGAGTGTACATTTGGCTTATTATAAGAAATGGGTAACATTTCATTTCATTTATCTCATGTATATGAGGTAGGGTTGGTTGTTTTGCGGTTTAATGGCTTCAATGATCTATGTGGCGTATTCGTTAAGCCGTATCAATGTGTTTGTTTGCGACTTATTGGTTAAGCATGTGACTTGGGAGGCATTCATCAAATACTTGGTGGTGGGTCACTTATGTTACTGGGTGGGAATGACAACGATCGAGAATCCTACCCGGTCAAAGGTATAGTAAGGATTGTTAATCTTATCCAATAAGCAGGGGAGGAAACTCTTACCTGATAAGTGTTTATTGGGTAAAAGACGTTTAACAACAATCCATTTTGATGGCTAGGAATGCTAGTCCGCAAGTTAAGCAAGGGTGATGACTTTTATCGGTAAACGTTTGGTAAACGATCCATTAATTGTTGAATTGTCCTGCTGATGAGATTTACAGTTTTGCTTGACCCTTATCTAGAATCGATAATGCAGAAGCAATAGAGCAAGGGCAGCGATGGATAGCGGATGGAGGGCTAAGGAAGGTGATGGAGGCGGGAGCTGGAGGAGAAATGGTATTTTGATTTGGCTAGTCGCCTCTAGTTTAGTTATAGGTATTCTATTGGGAAAGTCTAAAAAAACCAATGGACTATAGTGTTTGGAATGGTTAAGTCATTGGACAATTTTTTGGAACAAATGAGTTCTTGACATTCCAAAACATGTTCAATAACTTCTTTAACTTTCTAAAACCTGTTAGATACATTCTTATGACCTATACAATTGGTTAATGTGGTAAAATAATGGGAAAAGTCTGAAAAAACCAAAGGACTTTCATATTTTAAACGATTAAGTCTCTAAATATTTTTTGAACCCAAAAAAATATTTACATCTATAAAATAAAACAAATATATCAAAAAAGTACTTACATTTAGAAAATATTGTTGATGAAATTTATTTTAATTAAAGGGCTGTTTGGCAGTTGTTGAATGGTTTGGTACAAAATGATTAAGTGGTCAGAATGATTAAGAGACTTTCATGATATAGTGCAAAATGAAATATAATTGTTTGATAATTGATTACAAAAAAATTAGTATGCTTAATGATTAAGGGAGACTCATGATACAAAATCATTTAAAGGGTTTTAGAACGATTAAGAGACAGACTTTTTTGTTATCAAACAAGATTCACCTCTTAATAATTCAGATGTGGCCTCTTAATGGAAATGTTAAGAGGTAAACAAACAACCCCTTAAGAATAAAATATATTATGTCAGTGATTTTTTAAATTAAAAAAAAGATTTACAAATGATTACTGGTTAAATTATAAAATATATTGCACATGTGATTTTTCAAATAAAAAAAGATTTAAAAATGATTACTGATGAAATTCATTTTTAATTAAAAATAAAATGCATTCTGTTGGTAATTTTTCAAATCAATAAAATAGAAAATAATATGATTAAATTACTGATGGATTAACGATAAAATTTAACTAAATGCATAATTAATTAAAATTTGTCGCTAAATCAACGACAAGATTTAAGAACGATCTTTCACACTTATTAAAATGTTACTTTGTTAGAGCGTCCGAAGGTGGTCAAGTTAGCCATCAATTATATATAAGTAATTCATGCATATATACTAATGAACACTAGCAACCAATTTTAATTAATTATATATTTAGTTAAATTTTATTGTTAATCTGTCAATAATTTAATCAAATTATTTTTTATTTTTTTAATTTGAAAAATCACCAGTGAAATACATCTTACTTTTAATTAAAATAAGTTTCATTGCTGATTCTTTTTAAATCTTTTTCTAATTTTTTTAATTTAAGAAATTATATACGGAGTTATTTTATTTTTAATTAAAATAAATTTAATCAATAATCATTTTTAAATCTTTTTTTAATTTGAAAAATCACCGATAGAATATATTTTATTTTTAATTAAAATAAAATTTATCAATAATTTTTTTTAAATATAAGTATTTTTTTAGTAAATATAAGTACTTTTTTGTATATTTGTTTCATTTTATAGATGTAAGCACTTTTTGATTTAAAATAAAATTTATCAATATGGTTTGCGAAGCATCTGGCTTACAGGTAATCTCCCATTCACGTCGTTGAGTTGAGATGGTTAGACCTATATCCTGAAATGTTCCCAATTCACATATTAACTAATTAATTGATTCATATATGAACTATGGGTTCACTATGCACTTGTATGCCATCTATTTGTAAAAGTTATGCAGCTATCTCTCTATTTTGAATTCATATAACTTAACTCAATAAATAATTAATAATAATGTTTGATCGATCGAACTGATCCGGTCCAAATATCAATTGGATTGGATTTATTTGTTTGTTCAAAGTTAATTGGATTGGATTAATGGTCAAAATCCATCAAAGTCCATTAGATTTCAATTAATGAAAATATCACTAAAAGAATTATTGTATTCAACTTATATAATATTGATACGAGTATCAAATTCGTATTATTATATTATATCATGTTTTTAAAATGATATTCTTATCAAGAAGTAAAATAGTCGATGTCGTCATTCACACTCTTTATAGAACATAAAATCAAACCTTAAGGGGTTGTTTGTTTACCTTTTAATAGTTTCATTAAGAGGCAACATCTGAATCGTTAAGAGGTGAATCTTGTTTGACAAAAAAAAAATCTGTCTTTTAATGGTTCTAAAACCCTCTGAATGGTTTTGTATCCTGGATCCCCTTTAACCATTAAGAGTCTTAATTCATTGTACACAATTACCAAACATTTATATTTTATTTTATACTATATCATGAGAGCCTCTTAATCATTCTGACCACTTAATCATTCTGCACCAAACCATTCAGCAATTGTCAAACAGTCCCTTAATAATTCAATTAAAATTCATATAAACATCTTAATTCATACAAGATTTAACGGGGAAAAAAAGTCTTAAACCAGATTTTAATTGAAAACCAATTAAACATAAAATTCAACTTCGATTAGAAGCCAATTATGAATATGAATTTGGTTTTTGTTTCATTTTATTTAATTTAAATAAATTTATATTAAAATAAATAAAAGTTGAATATCTAAAAGGGAAAAAGATGTGGGAGGCCACACTTTTCCCATTGTTTGGTACAAAGACATTCACATTAAGATCTTGTTTTCAATGCCAAGCTTTTGTGTCCACATGCCCCCAAACAGACATTTTCCAACAAACTTGCACCCATTCAGATCTTGTTTCCAATTTTGCTTTTTTTTTTTTCAAAATTAATTACTGATATTAATACTTTTATATTTTATTCCACTATTTAATTTATTAGTTTTTATTTCAGAAAAACTTATTATTAGGATAATAGATTTTACATGTAAATTATGCCATTATTTATTAAATAAATAATTTATGTTTCAGTATATAAATAAACTAAAAATTAAAGTAAAGTTATATTATATTAAAAAAATTCAAAAATCTCCCTAACTTATATCTGGCACAACCGTAACATTGACACACTCAAAATTCAGTTCTCTAAAAATTTGTAACATAAATAAAATTACAAATTATTGTTTGAAAAAACTGTCTGTTCTTAATTATCAGCAACTATCTAAATAATAATTTGTAATTTTATTTATCATGATTTGTGAATCAGTTTGCATGATTTGCGTTTTACACTTTAATCCATTCAAATTCTAATAAGACGTGTTTGTCTTTACGTGACCATCACTGTCTCATGCAAACCCATTCACATTATGTAAGTAAACATTGTGTAAATAAGGGACTGTTTGGCAATTGTTGAATGGTTTGGTGCAGAATGATTAAGGTGGCGTTTGTTTTTTAAGAGGTTCTGAAGTCTGATTTCACTTCTGAATTTTAAGAGGTGGTACTGAAGTATGAAATCTGAATCAGTCAGACTGTTTGTTTTTACGTCTGAAATCTGAATCAGTCAAGTTTTGGATCTGATAAATTTGGATCGATCTGGGTCATGATTTTACGAGAATATGTGGATCGATCTGGGTCGTGATTGATTTGGAGATCGAATGTCTTGCGAGATAGATTTGGAGGACTAAATCTGGAGGTGAGAATGGAGGGGAGAGTCTGGAGGGAGCGATTAAGAGGATTTAAGTGATTATGTTATCACTTTTTTTTCAGAGCAAATTAAGAGCTTTTCAGCTCTTATTTATATAAAAAAACAAACGATCTGAAAATAAAAATGTCTGACCGGTTCAGACTTAAGAGGCATTAAGTGATTTTTTTCAAAAAACAAACAAGCCCTAAGAGACTCTCATGATATATGCAGAATGAAATATAACTGTTTGGTAATTGTGTACAATAAAATTAGAGCACTTAATGGTTAAGAGAGATTCATGATACAAAATCATTCAAAGGGTTTTAAAATTATTAAGAGACAGATTTTTTTTTTTACCAAACAAGATTCACTTCTTAACTATTCAGAGGTTACCTCTTAATGAAACTATTAAGAGGTAAACAAATCTGTATTCGTTTACATTTTATAATCATTACTACTTTATTTTAAATGGATAATGTATAAACTAGGAAACGAACATTACTTGTTTTTGTCAAATTAATATTATAATGATAAATGTTAATAAAAGAATTTAAAGAGTAAAATAGTAGTGTGTATATATATATAGAGAGAGAGGAGCGTTCAAATAAAAACCGGCTCCATTTGTGTAAACCGTGTAAACTAATCTCATTCATCAATTTTCTTGATCAATGGCCAAAATTAGTTTATTTTATTTTAGGAAATTAGATAAAAATATATATTAAAAATTTATTTTATTTCAACAGTAAGGGCATAAATGATAAACAAAATTTAATATTTGGTAACATCCTACTCGATCTTTCATGAATCTTTTTTAATGCAAAATTATTTTCTTCCAAGATTAGTTTACTTTCATGAATCTTTTTTCATGCAAAATTATTTTCTTCCAAGATTAGTTTACTTTCATAAAATCTTTTTTCATGCAAAATTATTTTCTTCCTTTCGTTCCT